CCCCACCTCCCCACGTCCCCAAGCTCAGTTCCCCACATCCTACATCCCCATGTCCCCGTGTCACCTCTTGCAGGACGTATGCGCTGACTGCCAGCAGATCATCACCCTCCTCATCCACATGGCCAACGAGTCGGCCATCAAGGTGCCCATGGGGACAGGGTGGGCGCGGGGTGGCCACCGGGAGGGGGGAGGGGGGTGCAGCAGGGGTCCCAGCATGGGTGCCATGGTGGCTGTGGCGCAGGCGGACGTGGAGGGCTTCCTGCGGCGGGAGTGCGCGGCGCTGCCAGTGCCCACCATGGTGTCCCCCTGCCAGAACCTGGTGCACGAGTACTTCAGCCTCCTCCTCACCGACCTCCAGGGGCACCTCGTAAGTGGGCACCTGCGGGGGCTGCAGCAGGCGGGCAGGGCAGCAGGGGGTGCTGGGGGTCTGGGGACACCACGTCAACTTGGTGACACCTTTGGGTGCTGGGGGACACCATACCATACAGGGACACCTCGGGGTGCTGGGAGGACTGGGGACACCATGACATCTGGTGACATCTTGGGGTGCTGGGGGGGATCAGGGACACCTTGGGGGTGCTGGGGGACACCATGCCATCTGGGGACATCTTGGGGTGCTGGGGGGGAGCAGGGACACCTTGGGGGGGCTGGGGGACACCATGCCATCTGGGGACATCTTGGGGTGCTGGGGGGGAGCAGGGACACCTTGGGGGTGCTGGGGGACACCATGCCATCTGGGGATACCTTGGGGTGCTGGGGAGGGTAGGTTGTGGACACCATGTGGGTTGCAGACACCTCAGGGTGCTGGGGGACACTGTGCCATCCAGGGCCACCTCAGGGTGCTGGGGGCTTGGGGACGTCATGCCAGCTGGGGACATCTGGGGGTGCTTGGTGACACCTGGGGGTGCTTGGTGACACAGTGCCATTCGGTTCACCTTGGGGTGCCCTGTGCTGGGTGCCCTCACCCTCCCCTCAGAAGCCCTCAGCCATCTGTGCCCACGTGGAGCTGTGCCCGGGTGAGCCTGGGGGGGCCCTGGCCATGCCCCCCCTCGGGGCCCTCAGCACCCGCCTGCAGGTATGGGACCTCGGGGCAGGGGGGGCCCAGGGGCATCAACATGGGGTGTATTGGGCATCAGCACGGGCATGGGTGTCTCCATGGACATGTCTATGGGTGTCTCTGTGGGCTGGGGGTGCTTGGGGGCATCAACATGGAGTGTGCTGGGCATGAGCATGGGCATCTCTGTGGGCCTTCCTGTGGGCATCTCCATGGGCATCTTTGTGGGCATCTCCATGGGCGTCCCTGTGGGCATCTCTGCAGGCACAGGCATTTCCATGGGCATAGACATCTCGGTTGGCATCTTTGTAGGCACCTCCATGGGCATGTCCATGGGTGTCTCTGGGGACAAACAGAGGAAGGTACCCGGGCACCTCCATAGGCTTCTGTGGGGGCACCTCCGTGGGTATTCACATGGGCATCTCTGCGGGCACCCCTGTGGCCATAACCACAGGTGTCCCTGGGGTCACCTCCATGGCCACGGCCAGAGCTGGGCCCCCAGTGCCCCCCTCTGTGGGGGCGCCACCATTAGTCTCCAGAGTGAACGCCCGTCCCCAGGTGGCCGCCGGGGAGGCCCTGCCGGTGCCGCTGCCGCTCTGCTGGCTCTGCCGCACCTTCCTGACCCGCGCCGAGGCCGCGGTCCCCAAG